CTGATCAATATTTGGACAATCCACATCTCACATCATGATCCTTATCACACCAAATACTTTCCTCTTTAGCCACTGTTTGATTCCAATTTTCTTTCTTTCTTCCCTGAATATGTCCTTGAAATTGACTAACTGACTGATTTTCTGACAACATGCTACGGTTTTGTTGCATTTCTGTTTTTGTCCATCATTATACTTGGCGAAGGTTACTTGGTGAAGAAAAATACGTGCCCTTGGAGTTAAGAAAATATTGTTCTGGCAAGTAACAAATTATAGGCTATTATTCCACAATTTCAGAGAGAAGTGAGAAGTTATTTGCCCAGAGGGAACATGAAGTAACCATGAAGGAATATGACTCCATGTATCTTAAAAGAAATTAAAAAGTAAGAAGGTGTGATGATTAGGGAACCTTTACCAGCAATCTGTCTCTTCTTGTTCTTAACTTCAAAAGGAACAGTTAAGCTAGTACAGCATTTACAAATGGAGGTGTTAAGATTTAAATCTACCTACTGTAGATCTACTGTCACATGATCACAAACAACCTGGTAAAGCATCTTAAGATGCTGTTGTAACACGAAAGTAGAAATTATTTTTAAAGACATGATCATTAGAAAAAGTGACATAAATGGAGACAGGAAGGCAGAGGCATGATTGTCTATTTATAGAGGTCTCAGGCTATCTGCCTATACACACAGTGCACATTTTTTCTCTTTTGTGGTAATAGAAAAACCCAAACAGGCAATTTTCTAGACAAGTAAATGAATAGGTATAATGGTTTGTGACATTTTAAAAATATAAACGGACACATGGAATGTCCTATTTCCTAATAGTATAATTTTGACGCATATGAGTTCTGTCAACAGACAGAGTAAACAAAAATAACACCAGGGATAGTGACAAAAACACAATCTTTACACACTGTCCACAGCGTCGTTCAAGCCTAGCTTCCCCATATAGTTTATATTTCTGCATGTGTTTTGCAGAAACAGATTGCAGATGTACGAGCGAGAACCTCCTTGAGAAGATAATTTCCACATATAATGCACCTTATCGTCTTCTATCTCTCTGCTACTCCTTCATGTTCGTTTTATTGATTCTTCTAAATCAAATTTATCTGCTCTCATTTACCCATGCACCCAGTCCTGCTGGTGTTTCTGACTACTCAGATTTTCATAGATTCCTGAGTTCTATTCAACTTGCTTTTATTTTTATAAATGAAATAGCTAAAGCACTATGAAAAACCTCTGAAATCTTTCTCAGGTGGGAAGAAAATAGATACCTTGTCTTACATGTAAGTATTTTGTCAGATAAAGGTTAGCAATGCATTTCTATAATGTTTGTATCATACACAGTGTGCATGGCTTGGTCATATTGGTACACATGTTTTCTTGATCATAGGGGAGCATGCTGACTGACTGAGGACAGAGGGAAAATGCTTTTAGTTGTCACCTTTACAGTGTCAATCTGTTGGGAGATGAAAAGCTGGCCAGCCAATGGTAGAAGATCACTCTGTCAGTGCAGTGGGAAATGAATGTGCTTGTGGGATATGCTAGTTACCACGGGAAAAGAATCAGTTCAAAGTTAGAACCTGTGACACCCTGCTTGATGAACACTTAGCAAGAATAATTGAGGTTATGATGCAGAGCATTGCCAAGGCCTGAGTTAATAAACCCCATGTGGGAGAGGGGGCACTATGGTACCTTGTAATTGAGTATATAACCATGCAGCTGTCACACTCGCCATTTTCTCTTAAATATTTTCTCCTTTTGTGAACTGTGATTCAAATCCAGGTCCTTGTGCTTGCTAGGTGAATGCTCTATGATTGACTATGTCTTAAGCTGTAGATGAGGTTGAAAATACAAAGGTTATTATTATAACTCCTTTACCAATGTTGTACAAAATATACTATTTTAAGTACGTGTCGGTGTATGTGCCTTGTCTGTATATGCTCATATGTCTTTCAGCACCTATGCATGTACATATGGAGTCCAGAAATTGATTTCGGTTACCTCATTGTACAAATTTCCACTGTCTTTTTGGCTTTTTGTTTGTTGTTTAGAGAGAGCTTCTCCCATATATCATGGAGGTTCCTGATTTGTTAAGTCTCACTGGCTAGCAAGTTGCATGTACACTTCTGTTCCTACACATATAGTGCTAAGACTCCAGGCACATGCCACTATGAGGAGCTTTTTATATTGATGGTGTGAATCAGAACTCGTTCCCTTGGCTTACATGGCAACTACTTTACAGAACGAGCCATCCCTCCAACCTTTGTCCTTTAGACTCTGCCCTTGTGTTCCAGCCTGCTGGATGTTTTCAGAACTTTAGCCTTAGCTTCAACTCCTCCTTTACTAATCTTCCTCCTTTCTTCAATGTCTCCTGAAGTCTCTCTTAAAAACACTATTTAGAAAAGATTTCTCTATGTCTTCCTCTCCTTCATCCCATCTCTCTTTTCCCAACAATACCAATTCCCTTTTTATATTTTTTGTTTTATTACCTGATTTATTAGACAGAATGAAATTTTTTTGTATATGCTTGATCTCTTTATCAAGATTACTATCAAATTGAGGAAGAATCATATAACACCTGTAGAGCTAGCTAAAAGAAAGTAGTTTGTTCAATCAATTTTTTCATACTGTTGTACTTCACTTGTTATTGTCAGCAAGCAGAGAATCAAAGGATTATTGGCTTTCATTCCTCACACCACAGTCTGTCATAAAGGACATTAAAGACAGGAACTCGAGGAATGAACCTAGAGATAGGAACTGAAGCAGAGGTCACGGAGGAATGCTGCTTACTGGCTTGCTCCTCATGCTTGCTTAGCTTGCTTTGTAAAACAACCCAGAAACACCTACCTGCCCACAAGGCAAAATTTTCAAATGGAGTATCCTTTTCTCAAATGATTCTAGTTTGTGTCCCACTGACAAGAACTAGCCATAGGATATAAAAAACAAAACGAAACACCAAAAATCTCTGTCTGTCTCTCTTTGTCAATACACACCAGTATGAATACAGATTTGAGCTGTTGGATGCCGTAGTATACATGAACATCTAGCCAGAAACTCCACAAATGAAGGACCATTGCTTCCCCCTACTTCTTTGTCTGTTCTGACTTCAACAAAATCAAATATTCAAATTACTTTACAGAGTATCAATCTGTTCTCTGTCATAGCTTTAAAATAAATTGGCTCCAAATAATAAGAAAAAAGCACACAGCCTTGCAGAATAATAATCTGCTCATCATCAGGTATATGTTCTTTTGCGTGTGTGTGTGTGTGTGTGTGTGTGAGAGAGAGAGAGAGAGAGAGAGAGAGAGAGAGAGAGAGAGAGAGAGAGAGAGATCAGGCATGTTTGTGCATGTGCAGTAGGTACTTGGCTAATCCAGGTGTCAATTTGAAAACCTGCAAGCTTTGTGGCAAAGGGATTATTTTTCGGTTGTGCATGTATGTGTGCTTTCTTTAAGTCCCCTGGGGAAATCAAGAAACGGTAAAAGGAAAAAAAATATACTAGTTGTTTGCTTTTCACACCTATAAACATGCTGTTTCCACCTTTTGCTAGAAAATTGCTGACCATGAGATTATTAAATGCGTTGGTGATACTCAGGAACAAAAAGGATGCAGGCAGAGTGTTTTGACAAAGATCTCTCTACTATAAAAGACACAGGAGAGTTTCTGGAGCTGTGAGGTACACAGAGTGACTTCAGGATAGGAACTTAGGCATAACACATTTTGAGACCTGAAGCTTACCCCTGCCTCCTCCCTCAAAGGTTCTACCTTGGTACTAAAAAAGCTAATCCTCTATATGAATCCTTCAGCATGGAAGAGCAAATAATAGATAACATCTCTAGTATTTTTGCTAGCTCTTGTCTGTTCATACACCAGTCCTCCCTAAAAGCAATTCTGGGCATGGTTTGGTTTTCTGAGCCTGTGCATGTTTCCATCCCAATCTTTGTCTCCAGCTTGCTGATAAGAAAAGCACCAGGGAGCTTTCTGAGTCTGGGGTGAGTTGATCACTGTAAGGAGCCAGAAAAAACGTTGGCTAAAGAACCCTTTTGTCAGCTACAGCTGCTGACTCTGATCCTGGGCAGAGACAAGAGCCCTGGGTCCAGAGATTTTGGCTTTTACCGGTCCCTTGTCATAGGTGTCACATTAAGGTGACAGGATATGTTCCTGTTCCTCCAGCAGAAATCGTGATTAGTCCCAGACTTTGAGTGGTGCATGACATCACAATATCATGCTTTCTCTTCCAGTCACACTTTCAGGTGACACACACACTCAGGTGTGAGGGGTGCGGGTAAAGTAAGGTTTGCAGGTGGCTGGCTTGAGAAAGAACTTCTGCTCAGTTCCTCTATTTACATTCCTAGACCTCTATCTTCAGACATTAACAGGGAGATGTCACCTCACAGTGCTAATTCTAGACAGTATAAAAAAATCCAAGAGCCTCCTAGATCTCAGCCATTAGCAGCGCCCCCCTCTGGTGGGGTCCGTTCATCCCAAAGAATTGGGACCTAAAGAAACACTGGGTACCTTTCTTGGTCCATCTAAAGTAGGGACCAGTGGCCATACTCCCTAGGGAACAATTGTTGCCCTCCTCCACAGAGAAGTGTCAAAGCGCTAAGGGTGTCACACCAGGCAGGGCTTAAATCCAGAGCAGACACAGAATCTGCCACCGCAGCCCTCTAAGGACCAAGGGTCAATACTTCCCCAGTACTCAAGTCCTGTGCCTCAGGGCTCGCCCTCTGCGGTACTCAGCAACCCGGCCATACCTGCGGGGTCGGTAGGAGCAAGAGGATGCAGGAATCCAGCATTCCCTCTTCCCTGAACGACTTGTGAGCGTGCACTATGGGCATGTATAGAAAAGCCTGGGATTCCTGGGCTCGAACCCATGGCTTGGGTTCCACTGCGGACGAATCCCGGGACCGCGCGTGTCTTGCTAGCAGGGCGAGCGCGCGGAGGGATCCGCCGGGGCCGCGCCTCCCCGCCCCGTCCCGCCCCCCGCCTCCTCCCGCCGGCTCCGCTGCCGCCGCGGCGGCCGCAGCTGCCGCCGCCGCCGCCGCCGCCTGAATATAGTGCGGCAAGGCGCGGAGCTTGCAGTCACTTTGCGAGGAGGAGCGCGCGGGCTGCGGGCGGCTGGGGCACCCGGGAGCGACGGCGGGCTAACAGAGGCGACCGTGGCAGCGGAAGGTTCTCTCTCCGGGGCTGGACTTAATAACTTTGGAACTGTCCGCCGGTGTCACGTCCTGAACATGAGCCTCCTCCTCTCCTTCTACCTGCTCGGGTTGCTTGTCAGTAGCGGGCAAGGTAGGAGTGTGCGGCTTTCTTGCTTACTTTCCCTCCCCCCCACCCCCCACCCTCCATCCAACCCGGAGAAGGCAAAGAGCGAGGCACCCGGGCAACGAAACCAAGGCACCAAAGTTGCGGTGGTTCTTGAGACGACTGTTGGGGATTTTTAGCTCTTTCTTTTCGCTGCCCCTAAAATTCTATCCGTTTGCTCGAAAGACCCCTAAAAATAAGAGGAGACCGTGCGGAATTGGAGATAGGCACCGGTGTGAAAGAGATCAGGAGTGGGAAAACTGCTGCTGCTTCTGAGATATTCTTTTTGGCTATTCTCTCTTATTACCCGAAATTGGATGAGTGTGTTGGTGTGTATGCCTAGTTAAATATCTGAGGTTGCGGAAGGGAAGGGCACAGTGATATTTTACAGAAGAGGCAAAAACTATCAGCATTAAAGTCGTTTATCAAAAATCTCCGTAGTGTGCAAGAAATTCAATTCTTGGAGATTCTTTTCTCCTTTCCCAAGACCAATTTTTTGGGGCTGTGAAGTGAACGTTTGATGGCTTATTTATGTTGGAAACTAACAGGGGCCATAGATGCTGTAAAATAACAAATGGCTAAAACTAGGGTTGTGTTGCAGGCGTTCATTGTGACCCCCCCCTCCTTTGAATATAGCATAATCTGAACACGTTCTATCATTTGATTTGAATTACACCTGTAAGGGATTTGGAAGGTTGGGGTGTACTGGGAGCACTGGGGACCCTTTTATTTATTTATTTATTTTTAATTTGGGTGGAGAGAAAGAAAAAAAAAAAAACATGGTAGAATAACCCTAGGGACAATTGGTTGAAGCGATCTTTGCTAATCTGTATATAGGTAGTAGGCATTATGAGTTTATCTTTCTCCCTTCTATAGTCCACGTTCACATAAAATATATTCACAATCATTTGAAACGTTTGAACTGTCCAGACAAGTTTGGACATTTAATTGGGGAGACAAAAATACCAAAATATACACTGGTGGAAGTCTTAAAGGCAAAGAGAATATCTATGCTTTTTCAATTAGATGAAAGTATAGGAATGTCATATTATTTGTGCGGCATTTTCTGTGAAATTAATAAAATGCAAGATAAGTTAAAATATGTTCTCTAAATTCAATTCTAAGCATTTTTCCCCCACCGCTTCTGTGTTGTTCATGTGGTCCAGCAGGGGGTGGTAGAACTCCATTTTAAACAAGAAATGCTTGTTTCTGCTCTTGCACACACTGTCCTTCTATCATCCCTCAGTAGGGCTTGGCGTTTTGAATGTAAAGACTTCTTTTCTCTGTCTTTCTCCCAAACTACAGTGTTAGTAAATGATGAACCACGATTGGATGCAGATTTTTATGTTCTGAAGTACAAATTCACATGCCAGATACTGCTCTCATTTATAAAGTGCCTCTTCCTGCCATCCTAACAGAGAATGGGTAATATTTCAGTCTCAGAAAAAAATGCAGATAGATCCATCAGAAGCTCATATTAGTCTTGTTCATTAATCCAGTCACCTCTCTTGCAAAGATCAGCATACACTTGTCCACTACAAGATACTGAGCTGTCATTTTTTGGGGGGCATGGGTGGTAGTTGTGTTTAACTGTTCATTTATAACACAGACAGGCAGTTCTGAATCCGAAAAGGCAGTCTGAAAATTTAACTTAGGTGCAATTGCAATTAGATGAGTGTCTTGTGAAGAAATATGGGGGCAAGTTTGTGCAGATTGATGATTACACTGTGTGCTGTCAGGAGGAAATCATCCCAGTTGTGGAGACTGTGCATTTATCATTGCTGATGCTAAGTGTACTGGAATTCAGGGACAGGGGAGAGGTTGGAATGTTTAAGTACCTAAGCATAAACAGTACACAAAGGCAGATACACTTTGGGTCTCTAGATATAGCTTCCATTTGAAATTGTGATTTAGCTGATTTATAATCAGCACACAGGGTGGCTATAGAGAACTGTGGTAAGGAAGGAAGCCTGCAGGGGAACCCATATTCCTTGTCAATGAATCAGGGCAGATGGATTGCATCTTTGTAAAGAAGATCTCTCTGTCTCGTGCAGTGGCATAACATGCAGAGAGCCATAGATGCGTATCCGGGGGAAGTAGCTTTTGTGTGAACAAGCATGTAGTATTGCTGTGCCATGTGCTGTAATGAAGTCAAAGATGCCTGGAAACACAAGTCCTTATCCTGGAGTCTAAATTTCTCTAGGCTGCTGTTTTCTTCTCTAATTACTGGTGCAGCAGCAAGTATTAGACACACCACTGGGAGCTGTTTTTCTTTTTTTAATAAATCATGTGTAACTCACATTTCTGTTTGTTCTTTTTTATTTTCTTTCTTTCTTCTTCTTCTTCTTTTTTTTTTTTTTTTTTGATGGGGCCGTGAAAACCTACAAGCCAGTGACCCTCGGGCTTGCCTTGGAAATACTAAAGCCTCAGATGGCTGATTTATGTTTCCAACAATATACTTGCAGGGGATTTTATGAAGCATGATTGAAGCTATTGCTCGGGAAAGTGGTGTGCAGTTTGACTGGGGAAAGGCAATGATGATGTATTCCCTTTTAAGTAGTCAAAACGTTTTGAACCACAACAGTAGAATGAAAGAAAATAGCCTAAGTTGAAAAAAAACAGCTAACTTAAGTGGATGCCAATACCATAATTAGCTAACGAGGCCTAATAGCTCCAGCCTTTACTTTCAGATCTGTGTTATTGTTCATGACGATGAGAGCTTTTTATTAAAAATTGAAATAGAAATGTTCCTTTGAAAGCCTTCCATTTCCAATGAAAGATTAGTATCTAATAAAAGAAGGTTGTCAACTCTGAATTTAGTTGCCCAGGAAAAGGAATTTATAATTCTTTAACTTGTATAATTATTTTTACCTACTATTTAAGACTTGGTCCCAGGCTCTGCTGTCATAAATCTCTAGTGCATCTCTCATGAGCAGGGCATTTGCTGTCTTTAGGTCTCATTCCCAGTAGGAAATAGGAAAAGGCTGCTTCTGAAACTTTCTGGGTGTTTACAATCATTTTCGTCTTCTTTTAAGAATCATCTAATATGATTAATGCCAATATGTTACTGTTGTTCACACATGTAAAACGGAAATACTGCTCTACTGAATCCAGCAGGATTATTCCATTCTTTTTCAAACTGTGTCAGCCATACACAGCATCCTTTAGCCTAAAATGTGGAGAAGGGTCCTATAAAATGCCCACACAGTGAGGGAATCTGGACATCTGCTTGCATTTATTCATCCTAGGCAAATGCTCATAATTTTCCATTAGAGATATCTGCACCTTCTGAAGACAGAGACCAGGTGTGTGAATGCCTACTACCTAAACTCCACAAATGCCCCCCTATGTATAGGCTATGACAGTATGGCTTCTCTTGAACCCTTTCTCTGTCCACCCTGATCTAATTCTTTGCCAGCGTTCTCTTTCTGTGAGGTTTCTATTGAATTAACTGCATGTCCACTTAACTTAGGAAAGATAGGCATTATAAATTAATATTTCTTTTGTCAGTGAACAGCCCAGAGGATTCCCTCCCCGGCTTGATGCCTGCTGTTCTCACTTTCATTTCCCAAGCTGAATCTGAACCCAGTGAGCAATAGGCACAGTTGGATGGTCCCAAGTGTCAGATGAGTTTCTTCATCTCTTCATCGGCACAGGGGACTGAGGTTCTCTAGGACATAATATCTTACAGGAGAAGCAATTAAGGGAACAAAAGAACTTCATTCAGTAAAGAAAAAAGGTCAAGCTTCATGTAATTTTGTAAATAACACGGTCTTCTTTCACAAATGAGCTGGTGTGTTGTGAGACAGAGAAAGGTGCTATGCAGTCTGAAGCTAGTAACCAGGCTCTACAGTAGAACTTGTTTTTCACAGGCAGGAGCTGAAGGGCTAGGTAGCATGTCCACATTGGAAAGACTCTTTACTTGATCTTTTTGCTTCCTCTGGCATTTGACATTGGGGAAATCATTTTTACTTATCTCTTTTTAAGGGACATTCTCTTTGTAACAGTGCTCCTCTGATAGTGTAGAGAAAACTGTTCAGTAAGTAGGTGAGAGAGTCTGCTCTGCACTCTTCTTGTTCTTATTATTGTCATTTCCTTATTTTTTATCCATTATGCCATTAATATGTCTCTTGGTCTATGAAAAGTCATTCAAACAACATTAGTGGTCTTAGAAAGGAAATACCCATGATTTTCTGGTTTCACTGAATTCAGAAAATTCTGAAGTTCTTGCATCTTCCTATCCTGCCAATTACAGTGAGGCTAAGACTATTTCAAAGATTGTCAATTACTTTTAATTTTTCAAATTACATGATAAAGGAACACATTAAGAAGCATCTGGCTCTTTTATTAAAAGTAACATTCTGCCATTTAACAGAGTTAAGCTGCCATTAATTGTTCAGCAAACACGTGTACTCCTTGGTGGTACCCTTTTAAATATTTTAATGCTTCTTCACTGTTTTAAATTACAATAGTGCTACTACTAAAGAGCTGACAGCATTTCTCTTGGGTACATACATTGACTGTGCCTCTATCAATTAATCAAGAGCCACTAGTTATGTTAGAAGACTTTGCCATCATGATCATAGACACTCCTAGATTAAAATAACTAAGAGGGGTGCTAAGGAATTTTAAGAATCTTTGTCACTATAGATATGGCAAAGATATCTTTGAAGGACTTTAAGTTGATTATAGGGTTTTGCCTCTGCACTATTAAATTATTTTGCAGGGGAAAGTCCAAGTCATTGCCTCTGAGATCATAAAGCCCAGGTGACCAAGGGTCTCTTGACCTTGAAGAAGCAACTGAAATTCACAGAACAGTTATTGCTCATTCAAAACTTGGACCTTAGCACATGTTAGTGCTTAACCAAGATGCTCAGCAGGAAGTATAGTTGTGATAGTGATATCTGTAAAATGTAAAGCATATTATACATGGTACTGGTCATGATATCCAACAATCAGCATACAGATAAAATTTAATAAGTATAGAG